ACACAAAATAGTTTTGTTTCCTCACAACAATTTTCAGCTGAAAAGATAGATTGCACTGGTGCAAGCTAGTAGTTAATCTGGTCCTAAACCTCTAGTGTGGACTTTTCGCCACAGTTTGCAACCCTACCCAAATGTGTAAAGTTTAAAAAGTAAAAAACAAAGAAGCAAATTGTGTTGCTTATCAATCACATCATCATAAACATACCTGAGGAGTGCAGGAAAAATACCTAAATCACAAGACAATGGCATCATATTCTTTTTCTCAATATGGATTGTAAGATGTCTGGGCACGATGAGCTTATTACAGATGAAAAGCTGAATGAAAGCATAATAGAGGGCACAGGAAGGGTACAATGAGGCTTGGGAGAACAGATTTTTCCTCTGGAACTTTTTTCCTCTGAAGCCTTTTTTTTTTGGATGTGAGTGGATGACAGGATGAAAATGAATTACACCCATATCAAGTGGGGGGAAGGTGAAGGAGAGCAAGTGACTGAAAGTCAAGTGCCCTTGCTGCTAAAAAGAGCGGATAAGCTAATAGGGTCAGTGATGTTCTGTGTTGGCATGACTGAGCACCAAACCACAGTGACTAAGCTGCCCAGTAGTACACAAACACACAGACACACACAAACACACACACTCATAAATCTGCATACACAGATTTGCAGGGTAATTACCTGGAAACATTCAGACCCACTGCGGCCACATGTCAATAACCCAGAAAGCTGAATCACAGGTGCACTGCAGACTCACAAACACACACCAGTCATGGTACACTAATGATTCAGTTCACATTTTAGCCTAGCCTGCAAATCAAATAAGCAATAAAACAAAATGATGTGAGTGCTTTTACACACACAATTATATGCACTTATACTAGACGCATGGTTATATTGGTGCTTTCCATAAGTGTGTGTATCTAATTAGTAAATAGTGTGAGTGCAAATCAGTCACTGTGTTTAAGTATAAAATGCTCTTATGTGTTTACCCATACAAGAAGACTGGCTTTAATTTTTTTTTTTTTTTTAACAGTAATCATTAAAATGCCAGCTCCCTTTAGCTTCCTTTTCACAACATTTGAACTGCGTTCCAGCAGGCTGAATAATTGAAATGATAAAATATTCTTCTCCTCTGGGAGCATTTTAATCATTTGAGTTTCAATGTTTTCACCGTCGCCCTGTAGCACATTTACACTCTGATACTGGTGGATTTCATTGCAAACTCTGCCGTATAGTTTTCTTGCATCTTTGTATTTGTAGTGAAATTATTTTACCCAGAGGCTGGTCTTTTAAAATGGTAGAGATAATATGGAGTTATCTGCAATATATGTATTTGTCTGATAGACTTATTTAAAAATGCTCAGAGAGAAATGAAAAAGATACATCAAACAGAAGTTGGCACACAGTAAGGGTGCTTTCACACCTAGACTTTTGTTTCGGAACCTGGCGTGTCTCCCCAGTTAGCACGGTTCATTTGGCATGACAGCTGAGCAGGAACTCAAAATAAACCCTGAAACTTTGACCAATGTGAGGAGAATTTATTCGCACGTGACTTTTATCTCTTTTGGTTCGTTTAGAAACTTTGCTGTGTGAAAGCGAACAGCACCAAGTTTTACACAATTTTAATCCCTGTTTCGGAACAAAACTGGTGTAAAAGCACCCTAAGAGTATAAAAAAAACATATTAGCATAGTTTATTTAATTTAGGTTTAAAGTGTATTTTTCTTTTTTTTTTTTTTTTTGAAAGTGTTAAACTTTTATAATTAACAACTTTAACACAATAAAGGTCAAAAAGAGATGCTAACAGAGTTCATTTATGTCATATTGTCATAAATGCTTTTTTCTGTCCATTGAGTTGTTGAATATTGTAGAAGTCTAGCATCTAATAAATTTACAAAACTATTTTTACTTAGTTGCCAGATTAAATTTAAGTGAAGTGTCTACTTTAATTATTTAAACAATATTCATAAAATTATGATGCCGAAATGCAAAAAAAAAAAAGGTTCTACATATTTACTATAGGTTAAAAAATAAATGACATGCTTTACATTATTTCAAATAATGATAAGTGATCAAATTAAAGTTTCAGATATATGCAAAATGTGCCTGGTCACCTTTGGTAATTTGTGGTAAAAATATTGTATTATTTATTGTGTATTGTTTTTAAAATAATTCTGTAATAAATTAATAAAACAGGATGCATTATAATGTCCAAAAAAGCACCGTAATTGTTTTCATATATTGTGCTTCAAGTTTGGTTTAAGTTTGTGGTATTTCAACACAATGTTATGGCAGATTCGTAAGCTTTTGATTTAGTGGCTAACTTGTGTTAATTCATACAATTTGGTACGATTTGCTCATCCCCCTATGACAGTTGAGTTTAGGGGTGGGGTTGGGTGCCACGCCTCCTTTTTAAAATTGTACTCGATTTAGCCATTTAATTAGACTGATTTAGCCACTAAACTGACAAAACGTAACATACTTCCGTTTCCTCATAAGATCAGGCTGGGTATTTTGATATATGCTTAGACTTTTCTCAAACTTTTTTTTTGTTCTGTAAGAAGCAAAAGCCTTTTTAAAACAATTAAGATGCTAAAGATATTCTTCTGATGTTTATTATCTCAAGATGCCTAATGCCTCATTCACACTAGCAGCAACTTTGTAGCTGTCTGTCGCTCTGGGTGGTGACCTGCTGCAAACGCGGTCTGTGTAGATATATACAGCACGAATACAATCAGCCTCTGAGTGAGAAGAGAGAGGATCACACGTGAGCTCTACTGGTGCTCCTATTGGCTGTCGCTCTAGAAAGTCGCTCTTCATTTGCGTAAAGTTGAAGGATTCTTAACTTTGTTGTGTTGCTCGACACCCACCTGGGGCCTGTTTCAGAAAGCAGGTTAAGTTAAAACTCAGAGTAGTTTAACCCTGAAATGAGAGAAACTCTAGGTTTTCCGTTTCAAAATGGCGTTTATTAAACGTTTATTAAACTCGAGAAAGCAGGGTAAGTCAAGCCTGTTTCTAAAAGAGAGTTAACTTTAACTCAGAGTCAGTTATCGTGGTAACTTACTCTGTGAATCTAACCTGGTCCGGAGCAGGTTTTATTCTCTAAACTCTTGAGTTTCTGTCGGTCTCCTCCCCTTTTTAAAGATGAAGCGGTATTTCTCGCATTAGCCTTAAGTTTCCACACACCTATTTTAGAGCTCATTTTGGAGATGTGCATAAAAAAGATTGATGGAAACGTCATGATTCACATAACTTTTGAAAATACGCATAATATAACGTGCATAACTGAGTAGGTTAAACTTTTATTTGATAAGATGCACATAAACTACGAAATGCACTTAACAAATTATAGTATGTACATTAAAAAATGGTTTGTTAGAGATGATGATGAAAATGTGTGTAAAAGGACAAACCAGCAGACTGAGCACACTGCAGAACATCTTAAATGGTGTTTTAGTCATTCTAAAATGCATTTACTGTTTCAGTATTAGTGTATATTATCAATTACCTCCGAGCGTCTGGAGCGTGTCAAGATCTCCGCGTCTGGCTTCAAACGCCCCCACGTGTTCATTGTGTGTCAATTGTCTTCTGAGGCTCAGGTACATTAATTAAAAAAAAAATCATTGATGCAGCTTATTCTACCGCAGTAAATTCTGTTTTTACTGTTGATATTTGGCGCAAGTTAATCAGGAAGTGACGATTGTGTTCTCTTCGACTCTTTGGATAAAAACGCTGCTTTATTTTTAGGCGTTATTCCAGTTTTGCACAAATTTATGTAATAGCCTATATTTAGATGGAAACACAGCTATTGCCTACATTTTTGTCACACACAGAACAAAGTCACGTACGAAGCTTGTCCTTTTTTTTCATAAATAATTAGCTTAACCTTCGACATGCACTGTTACTAGATTAATGGGATTATTATTCTGTTTAAAAATAATTTTATTACTGCTTACCTTCTTAATGTTATATCAACCTCTATCACTTGATCAATAAAAAGGCAGACACATAACAAGTACACTGTTAAATCTATTAAAACTGATAAAAGTGTATAAAAGTTTAGAAAAAAAGTAGGCTATGAACGTCACACATTACATTACTTATTTTATTATACTTAAAATGTTTAAATACTTAAAATTAAAAATTACGCATTAACTTGAGCAGCTGGTTTCCCACGCTAACTGTCTCTGTTTCACTGATGGTTGCTTCATTTTAAATATATACACTCATATTTGCTATAACTTTGCATGAGCACATCAAGTTCAGCTGGAGAAAGAAATGCTGATCTCTTTTTTAAGATGTTGCCATAGTCACTCGTTATGTCTGCGCTCCATTGATAATGCCTTTTTATAGTCACGGTGTGCGCGCTTAACTCTGAGTTGGTCTACTCAAAGTTGATTGACCCAACTCAGATCAGTTGTTCTGAAACCGAAAACTCAGAGTTTTTAATCTCTCGGTAAATCAACTCAGAGTTCAAGTTTAAACTCTGAGTTGTTTGAACCTCCTTACTGAAAAAGGCCCCTGGTCGCCAACAGTCGCCGTTGATCATGTAGACTTGTCGCTTTGCCGCTGCGAGTCGCACGTAGTGTGACTGGAGCTTTAAAATTATAGTTCACCACCAAAACTAAAAATTCTGTCATTATTTACTTACCATTCACTTGTCGTAAACATGTTTGTGTTTCTTTTTTCTGTTGAACTCAAAACAAGATATTTTGAAAAATGCTGAAAACCTGTAACCTTTGACTTCTATAGTATGTGTTTTGCTACTATGGAAGTCAATTGTTACAGATTTTTTACATTTTCAAAACATTTTCTTGTTTTGTGTTCAACAGATTAAAGAACTCATAGATTTTGAAACCACTTGAGGGAGAGTAAATACTGAATTTAAATTTTTGGGTGAACTATCCCTTAAAATATACTATTAAACTGTTTATCAGCTCAGTCACCTATTCCTGATCCCATGTTGACAAATGGCCTGATGAACAATTTTCTGGTCCCTTCACAGGTAAGAGCCCATACCTCATGTTTACTAACCGCCATGAAATCCGCCGCATTGATCTGTTGAAGAAGGACTACACACAAGTGGTGCCGACCCTGAAGAATGCTGTGGCCCTGGATGTGGATGTTACCACCAACAAGATGTACTGGTGTGACCTTTATCATCGCAAGATCTTCAGGTACACACACAGCATTACAGCACAGGGCATATTGCGTTCCTCCCTCTAACTTGACAGCTGTTTAATCTTTGTTTGAAAAGGATAATTTGCAATTAGTGTAGAGCGCTGAGGTAGGAGAAGATGTTGCGGTTCTGAGAAGCTCTTCCCGCCTCCTCTCAGCTGTCTGATATTTAAATGCATGAGAACAGCTGCTGCAGAATAACTGGAGATTTCCTGACGGCAGCATCATCATGCAGTGATCAATTGAAAGCTGTGCAGGAAATTGCTTGTGTGCACATTTCCATATAGACTTTATTCTCTGGTTTCCTAGGAGTTGGGATGAAAATGTAAAAAATTACACAAACAAAACAGCTGTACGTGAGGAATTATTTTAGGTTTTTGGGTACAAAATTTATTTTTATTATTTGGTTCTTGTTTTTGATTGTTTGTATTTATTTATTATCAGATCTCAATTCCTCTGGACTTACTAGCTATGGGTTTGAGTGAAATGTTGAAAAATATATATTTTATAAAAGTCTGATATTAACATTTTAACATCCTTTTTGTTATAGCATTTTGTTATAACATGTTAAGTTTGGCAGAATTACAGTCGTAGTTTGCAGAATTAAAAACAAATGTTTTATTTTAGCATATACTGTAACTATAAATCATAAATCCAGTGAAACTTTTTTTTAATAAAATTTTTTAATTTATTTATTTATTTTGTTAGATTAAATTCTCAGTTTCTCTGGAACTTCCCACTTACTATGGGTTTGAGTAAAAATGTTAACGTTTGTTTTATTTTATAATGTCTGATATTAACATTTTAACAACCTTTTTTGTTATAACAACAACACTATGTTTTGCAGAAAGACCATTAGTAAATTACAGAATTAAATAACATGTTTTACTTGACACATAACTATAAATAATAAATCCAGTGAAACAGAGATTTTTCAAGTGGTTCATTATTGTATGAATGTAAATTTTACGGCTCTACATAAAGAATGACAATATACATTACCATGTTTGGGGTCAGAATGTTTTTTTTTTAAATAAAACTATATATTGTTACAAACAATAATTTCAAATAAATGCTCTTGAACTTTCTCTTTGTCATACAAATGAATCATAGTTTGCACAAAAAAATGAAATGTTTAGTTCAATTCATGTTTATTTCTATATCGCTTTTACAACGTAGATTGTGTCAAAGCAGCTTAAAACAGAAGTTCTAGTAAATTGAAAATGTGTCAGTCCAGTTTTCAGAGTTGAAGCTCAGTTTAGTTCAGTTCAGTGTGATTTATATTTTACTGCTGAAAGTCCAAACACTGAAGAGCATTGATGCACAGCTCCACAAGTCCCAATCCAAGCAAGACAGTGGCGAGGGAAAAAATTTTACCAATTGACAAAAGTGAAAGAATATATATATATATATATATATATATATATATATATATTATTATTATTATTATATATATTATTCTTATTATTATTATTAGCCCCTTGTTAATTTTTTTCCTCAATTTCTGTTTAACGGAGAGAAGATTATTTCAACACATTTCTAAACATAATAGCTTTAAAAACTAATTTCTAATAACTGATTTATTTCATCTTTGCCATGATGACAGTAAATAATATTTGACTAGATATTTTCAAGACACTTCTAAACAGCTTAATGTGACATTTAAAGACTTAACTAGGTTAATTAGGTTAACTAGGCAGGTTAGGGTAATTAGGCAAGTTATTGTATAATGATGGTTTGTTCTGGAGACTATTAAAAACATAGTTTAAAGGGGCTAATAATTTAAAAAATTAAAAAAAGCTTTTATTCTAGCCAAAATACAACAACAAAAAAGACTTTCTACGGATAACATTTTTTATCAGACATACTGTATAAATATTCTTGCTCTGTCATACATCATTTGATAAATATCCAAAAAAAAGAAAAAAAAATCAAATGGCGTTCAATAATTCTGATGGCAACTCTCTCTATATAAAACATAAAATACATGTAAAATATAAAATGTTATTTTTTGGAGCAATCGATCAGCATTTGATTAGCTTAAAAATGATGATTGACTGTAATAATGCTGAAAATGTATTATTTTTGTTCATTAATTGCATTTGTTATTTAAATTGTAATAATTCTCACAATATTAATGCTTTTGTAAGGTTTTTGATCCAATAGATACAGCTTTGATGAGCAAAAAAACATTTAAAAAAATTTCAAACCTAGATCAAACCTAGAATCATTCACCTATATGGCATCAAATGCAAAATTTGCAACATTGCTGTCATTTCTAACCTTTGCTACTCAATATTTTCATCCTAACTGAAGGACATTCCAGTCCCTTATGGGAGGTCCTGAATAATCACAACCAACCATTTAACAAAGTCATCTTATCAGTCGGACAGCAGCCTGTCACGAAGCTGAAGAACCTGACAAGCGTTTGTCCTTTAATGTCCCAGTGTGTGCATATATGGCATGTCCTGCTCTCATCAGCCTCTAGGAGCATCTAATTCACTTCACCCACACCATATGCTTCCCATAATTTACCTCCAACAATAATGCGTCCCATTACTCTTCCCCTCTCCCCTCAGGAGGGCTCATGTTAGGACGCTTACGACAGTTCATTATCACTTTAGAAACCTTCAGAAGAATGGAAATACTTGTGCTTGTCTGCAGGGAGTTTAATTTATGTATGGGGTCCCTGTCGAAGAATGGCATGAACTGAGTTATGGTAAAGATGTGAACGGTGTGGATGTCTGCTGACATCTGAAACCTCAAATGAGGCATATCATTTAAAGGCCACTTATAAATCCTCTGTGTATTTTGAGGGTGATGTGGTTATTGATTTGATCATTGTGGTTGTTTTGTTAGATAACGAGTCTTGGTTTACCTGCAAGAGATCTCTAAAGTGACACTTTTTATGTTTCAGTGTAAAGGTTCATATTAATGTTGTGTTTCTTGCTTTAATTAATCTTAATGAACTTTGTCTTGGGTTAATGTGATGCAAGCTCTTTGCTGTAATTAAGATGTCAGAGGGAACCTGAACCCAACTGGTTAAACAGACAGTTTGTTGCTCTGCTTGACCAAATGCATTAGTGGTTGATCATGGTGTGAAGACTAAATATCCTGTGGTTTGTGTTTTGATAGATGGTTAGACTCATGCATCTGGTATGATTCACTGTAATGGGATGTTTACCCAAAATGGTGTTTATTTACTGATTCTCTGGTCTTTTTTGCTTCTTTATCTTTTTAAAGAGCTTTTTCTCTTAAAATCTTTGACATTCGGCACATGTAGATTTAAAAACATTATACAGACAAAACAAAAGTAATAACTGTGGTATAGATATGAGTAAAATGTTGTTTTGTTTTATTCTTTAAAAGTGATAACATTTCTTCAAATAATATTGTTAATGTAAATCATGCTTTGTTTACTCATTTCTTATGAATTGGTGGAAATAAATATTTGTCAATTAAAAATTTGTCAACTAAAATCTGTGTTAAAGGTGCAGTATGTAAGTTTGACTCCCAGTGGATGAACTAGGTATTGCATTCCTGGATTAAAACAAATGCAAGTGCAGGTTGCTAGATTGACGACAAACAGCAAGACTATCGAGCCTAAAGGCTGTTTTAAACCGTGTTCTAAATAAAAGCAACGGCACATGATACAAGGAATACTTTCTGTGTTAAAAGGAGTTTTTGTTCTAACCAACACCTTTATATTGATATATTACAAACGGCTTCTGTTTCTCACAAGTGAACAACAGGATAAACTGATCTTAACTTTAGAACTTTGACTCACTATCAGTGATTTAACATGTACATTTATTAATGTAAAGACATTTAATATGTATTAAATAGATTATAAACCTTACCATTTTGTGCTTTAAAATGACTGCATTTAAATTTGTCATGTTTCACCTGGTGCAGACAGTCCAATTGCTTATCATTGCAAATCTCATCATGTAGCATGCTGTTAGGACTTGGGGTTGCAATGTAACCTGCTCACCTTGTCTTTATGTTCGTAATATTTTTATTATTTGCTAATATTTATTATTTATTAATAGCCTCCTGTGGAACTCTGAATCTGTGTCTCATTTTGGAGTCTGCTACTGTCTACTGGAGGTCGCATTTCGGTCACGGACACATGCTTTGAGAGTCTTACTGACAGAATGAATGAAATATGTGGTTTTCCAACAAGGCAATCAAGGGTGTTGAATTATAATTGGGTAAACTGACATTAGGCAGGTTAAAAAAAACAAAAACATGACAGCGTTTTAGCACGGAAAACGTCTCGGGTTACGTATGTAACCATAGTTCCCCGAGAGTGAACGAGACACTGCGTCTAACCAGAACGCTAGGGGAACACCTCTTTTATACGCGTCTTGAAGCACATGTGAAATCAATCTAATGTAATTAAGCAGGTGTCGTCAGACCAGAGAGTATAAAAGCCTGTACTGAGCATTCAGTATCAACTTCGAATTTGCTTGAAAGAAGTAACAGGCAGAAGAGAGTATGGCGGAATACGCAGTGTCTCGTTCCCTCTCGGGGAACTATGGTTACATACGTAACCCGAGACGTTCCCCTTCTAGGGAACTTCAACACTGCGTCTAACCAGAACGCTAGGGGAACGCAATACCCACTAGGCCAGACTCACTGCTGACTGTGAACGCACACTACGCAGTGAGAATAGAGGACCCTGGTGAGGGGTCTACATCGAGTTGATAGTGACGCACAAATGTATGTGGAGTCGACCATCCTGCCGCCAAACAAATGTCAGAAAGGGCTGAGCCCGAAATAGAAGCTTTGGAGGCCCCGACAGCCCTTGTGGAGTGGGCCTTAACAAATTTAGGTGCAGGGCGTCCAGCAGCCTGATAGGTAAATGAGATAGTCTCAACTATCCAATTACTTATTGTCTGCTCATTCGCCGGACTCCCCCTTTTTGAGGGTCCGAAGCAGACCAGTAACTGTTCACTCTTTCTCCAGTTGATAACCCGGTTAACATATGTATTCA